CACCAAAAAACTTTAGTGTGAAAAATTGAAAAAACGANCTACAAAAATATTAACGCCAAACATTCGGTAGAATTTATAGAATATTGTAAAAATTATGGTCTATTACCAACACACACACACACACACACACACACACACACACACACACACACACACACACACACACACACACACACACACACACACACATATATATATATATATATATATATATATAATATATATTTGGATTAAGACTGTCAGAAATGCAATTATTGATAAAAATCGTAGCATGTTCGGCGTTAGTTAACTTACAATTTAATTTTTCGATTTTTCTAACTGTTGATCGTAAATCATTTTCCAGTTTCTTTAGTTCAAACCCAAAATTTTTGTTTATTTTATGCATAATGGAACAGAAAAGCTTTTTTCCTATTCCTATATCATCTTCGGTGTTCAAATTGTGTTTGTACCCGGATACTCGAACACTGTGCCTCTACTCTACTTTGTTGATTCCTTGTTTGTTTAAAGCAAATACATAGTTTTACAATCTTAGACTTTGTTAAATATAACACTTTTATTATTATTATTATTATTATTATTATTATTATTATTACAAGTCAATTTTTACAGCGCTAATTACAAAAAAGATCTCAAAAGCTCTCTCTAAGATAAATGAACAAACAAAAAATTAATCAAACGAAAACTAAAACATTGTAAATTCTGCGAAAATAAATGAGTCTTCAGCTCCTTTTTTTAAAAAAACAAAACAAAGATAGATCTGGTCTTCTTATAAACGCCGGTAGACTGTTCCAAACCACCGTCCAGCAACAGCAGTATTGCGTGATCCGGTTTGTAAATTTGTTGCCGGCATGTCATTTGATCTCAACTGCGAACCAAACACAGATGTTTTGCTGATGAACATGCCTGCCAAATGCTGTGGTGCTAAACCATGTAATGACCGAAACGTTAAGACAGCAGTTTTGAAAATTATTCTTTTTTCAATTTTTAGCCAGTGTAGGTCATTCAGGATTGGAGTCACGTGATCGAACTTCAGGTTTTTTTTGACAAGTTTTGCCGCTCGATTTTGAATAGACTACAGTACAGCTATTGACTTGTCAGGTATTTGAAAGTATAAACTGTTACAATAATCTAATCTGGATGTAATAAAAGCATGTACCAGTGTTTCCATGGCAGATCTGTTCAATTTTGTACAATTTTCAGAGAGGAATCATACTTGAAAATGATTGCGAATTTATTTGATCTTTCATTGAGAGCCTGCTATCCAACCATACCCCCAAATTCAAGGCTGTAGTAGCAAATGATACTTCAACGTCACCAACTTCAACCGAGTTTATATTAAGTCTTGACAACTGCTGCCATGTACCTACAGGAAGCATCTGAGTTTTACACCGGCTCAACCTTAAGGAATTGCTCGACATCCAATGTTCAATCTCCATCAAACAACCAACAAGTTTATCAATCTCGAGCCAAAATGTCTCTGGATGACCTGTAGCAACTATCTATATGTCATCTGCATACGCATGACCAACAAGTCCATGCGAAATTATTATTTTAATTATATCCGATGTAAAGAGCAAAAACAAAATTGGTCCTAGCACTCATCTCTAAGGGACACCTGTTATTACCCCCTTGACAGCTGATAAGACTGTTCTAAACAAAACCTTCTGAGTTCTACCCGTTAGATATGATTCAAACCAGGCGAGTACCGTTTCTTGAAACTCCAAAATTCTTCTGCAATTTTACCAGAAGCTTGTTGTAATTAACGCAGTCAAAAGGGGAAGACATGTCGAGAAAGGAGAGTAATGATATCTTCCGATCATACATGACTGCAAACATGTTTGACAATACATAAAGCAATAAAATTTCAGTTAAATGGTAGCATCTGTAGGCCGATTGGTTGAGTGGCATTAAATTGTTCGCTAGATAATTCATTAGGAAATCAAGAACAACACGCTCCAAAACTTTTGAAACAAAGGAAAAGTTTGATATTGGTCTCTAATACTCACCTCGTTTGCATCTGAGTTAGCTTTTTTCAAAATCGGTTTAATTATCGCGTGCTTACAGTTAGAAGGAAATTTACAAACGCGTGAAAAAGATTTACAAAACTCTTCAGAAAACAGACAAATGAGTACAAGTATCTTTAAGGATAAGCGTAGGGATTATGCCCAGACCACACGTTTTCGTTGGTGATTTAAGTACCGTTTCCCTCAACTGAGTTTCAGTAACCACCCAAAAGCATGAAAACGTACATTTATCAAACATCTTGACTACTTGAAGCGGAAATTCAGAATGTGCATTTGTTGTTTCTGTTATCCTAGCAATTTTATCTTCAAAAAATTGTAAAATTGATCAGCGTTTAGAGCGTTGTCGTCATTCAAAGAATTATTTGCCGATTTACCTAACATTTTATTGGCAATATCCCAAAAATTGTTTTGATTTCTGTTACTACTTACGATATTGTTCCAATAATGCGTACTCTTGTCAGAGAAGAGTCTGTTTTTAACCATCAATGAGAGTGCCCATTTAAATTTACGTCGGTGAAATGAAATGATCTTTTATTCAACAACAATTCCATTTAAAAAAAAATTGTTAGGATGATTGAGATAAAAAGCAAAGTTTATCGAGCTCGACCACCTTTCAAAAGAGTTATTTGATTTTAAACAGAAAGAGTACAGTGAAACTGTAAAAACAAAATTTAAATAATTCAGCATTTTAATATATAAATGAAGAACAAATGGTAATTTAAAAAACATTAGGACAAATTAGATTCTTTTATGAAGGATTTCAAGATCTTTTTAAAATTGTACAATGATATAACATTGCAAATTAGGTTGTTTTTTTTAAATTTATTCCAGAGTCGGGTACCCGAGCAACTAATATGGAAAAATAATTTTTTTTGCCGGTTTTAAAACAAGACAGTTATGTTGTCTTGTTTTTCTAGCTTTTTTGTATTTGAAGTAATCAAGGAATGCATGCGGAAGAAGGCCACTAAGCTGTCAGAAGACGAAAATTCCCGTTGCGTGAAAGAGAAGACGAAATTTGATTGTGATAAAACATTTATAGAATTTATTGAGTAAAGGTAGCTGTCTGAGAGCATTTTTACTGCTTTTTCATGAGTTGAGAAACTGCTTTAGTGTTGGATGCATACGTTGAAGCCCAAACTAAATTACAATAGTTAACATGGAAACATGGCAAACATAATGCATTGTAGAGAAACGATAAAATCTGTATTCTTCTGGCGAACTTTGAAGTTTGAAGCAACATTTTTTTATGTGAGGTACAAATGTTAATTTTTGATCTAGGTACATTCCTAGGAATTTGCAAATTTTAGTTTCACTTATACTTATAAATGTGATTAATAACGCACGCTTTCCAGTATTTGAGTGTTTGCATATTTTTTAATTAATTAAATTTAATTTAGATAATTAAATTTTGTAACATATATTTTTAAATCAATAATAATAATAATAATTATAATAATAATGTCATTTGTGCAGTGCCCTATGCGTAGCGTCAAAGGCGTCTGGATAAGCAAATGTCAGCACGGCCACCAGAAGCCTCTTCGAACAGATGCTGTTCCAATCGTTTCTTATGTTACAATGCGCCTCTTTTGTGACCCAACTACTCAAAATGTAAATTACGGATATTTTTTAAATTAATAATTCACCGTGTATTTAGCTAATTTAAAGATTTTATTAATAAAAATATGAGAGCAGCTATGTATATTTCATAAATTTTTACAATATTTAGTTTATGTAAAATATCATTTACTGAGTGAAATGTTAACAATGTTTTTTCTATGTTAGTTTGTAAAACTTGTTAGCTCTCGACAATTAACTTTTTCAGATCAACAAGTTGTGCATTTTTTTACTTAACTGAACCAATATTCTGGCAAATATATTGACTAATAAAAAGAATAAAATGAATTATTATTGTGTGTATTCATTATTTTGAAAGTGTTATAATACACGTATTGAACAGGTTTCACGAGAGAGGACAGACCAAAGCCATGAAGCAATCATGATATTTAATCCGGCAATCAGTTCTATTTAAATGGATGCCGTTTGTAAGATCACTATCTCTCCTGCGTGATTGCACATACGTTTATTCTACTTCATGCTTTTAGATATTTATAGTTACAAATACGAATCAAATTTTAATGGTAATATTTGCACCAATAAATTAATAGTTAATTATGACTATGAGATTTTTCATATAATATGATTACCGGCTTTAATTCAAATTTTAATTTTTTATATTGGTTATTATTTACTGATTTTTTTGATGATTTCTTTACAATGAAGAATATTACTTTTATAATATTTTTCTTGTAAATTAAAAATTATGTTCACACACACACGCTATATATATATAAATATTATGACATGCGCTTTATCCGTTTCTCTTATTATTATGTCTGTGTTGTTATTTGACAACTGCTGCAATTATTAGTCAATCATTGAGTAATTTGCTTTATGTGATCTTCTTATTATATATATATATATATATATATATATATATACATATATATATATATATATATATATATACATGCAGTAATTTATGAAATCTACCTAATTTCTAGCGTTGAATAGATTTTTATCACATTTCTCAATATTTCTAACCAGATTCTTGTCGTCATTATTTATTTTGATAAAGTTAGAATAATAAACAGTTTTCCAATTCATTCTCGAGTGTGTAGCACCTATCTCGATTTTTCAATCATCTTCAGCACTTGTTGCATTTTATATAGAGAATTTGTAGAACCCAGTACTATCTTCATTGTTATTATCGACTTTGTTAATTTTATTACCTTCTTTATTAATTGATATGATTTTTTTGTTTCGGCTAATTACTTTGGTGTTGTGTTTTTTGCTTCGGTGTTTTGTTTTATTGATTTGATATCATTTACTTGCTCTTCAATAGCACTTTGGTCGATGTTGCTTTATTCATTGTCTTCATCGGTACCATTGGTGTTGTTAGTTAATTTTATAATTGTTCTTTTTTTAGTATATTTTATTATTGTTAAAATCTTTTGTTGTTTGTTAATCAGGGGTTGTTTTATGTCGGTGAGAATGGCTTCGGCTAATTTCAGATGGGAATAGCTGGAATTACAGTATATTATTTTGCTGTTGTTGTCCGAGATTTCTCTTGTAATTTCAATATTATGTGTTTGTTCTAGTGTGTTTTTCTAGAACCTTCTCTTTTGTGCATGGTCAGACGATGTTGTTGTTACTCTGATATATGAAACATTCTGACGTGCACAGTCGTCAAGGAGACATTTAAATTCATGTATCAGATGGCTAGGTTTTTAAAGCCGAACCATGTTGAGGAGTGCAGTTGTTGTTCATGACAAAGTTTGATTTCTTTGCATTTATATAATAAATTAGTAGTTTTATTTAGCCAGAAGGGTTAGTTGGTTTGACATTTTTATAAATTATTTATTTTAAGACGGATTTGTCCATTTTGTAGTTGGTGTTCATATGATTTCTATAATAAAAGATGATGTCAATGTTTGGATTATTATGCTGTGGGCTGTTAAGTTATTGTAATTTATTTTTAATTATATCCTCGATCATGCTGTATCCATTGTTTACCAAGAAATTCGTAATTCTTTTTAATTCCGCATCACGTTTTTCGGTTGATGATGAGTGGGTGACGGCGCGGTTGACGGATGCTCTTGTTTTACTAATTTTGAATTGCTCAGTGCCTATACTTTTTTATTGAAGCTTTTGTTTGGAGTTTTTACGTAGACTGCAGTTTCAAAGCTATGCTTATTGAGAGTGACAGGGACATCAAGAAAGTGTAGGTATTTATCATTCTCATCATAAATTTATTATATATATATATATATATATAACATTTCAAAAATTCAACACTACTTTCAACATTGTTCAACTTTTTTATGTCAGAAAAATTAGACATTTTATTGTTTTAAAAATTTTATTAAATAAATTTGCAGATAGCTATTTCGAGTTCAGTGCATTATATATAATGTATGTAAGATATTTGATAAGATAAGAAGAAACGAATAATTATTAATTTATATATATATATATATATATATATATATATATATATATATATATATATGTGTGTGTGTGTGTGTGTGTGTGTGTGTGTGTGTCTGTGTGTGTATATATATTTGCGCTCATGCATACACCTAAATATTTTAAAGTTTTGAATATTTAGCTTGTTGATGATGAAGAAATAAAGCGGGTTAAATTGTTATAACACATTTTGATAACTGCTTCACTGGTTAAATATAATAATGAAATTAGCATCTAGTTGTTTAAACTATTTTAACGAGTTTAGGAATTCGCGCAAAATTTTGGTCGTAATCGTTTTTATTGCGCTTTTTCTTGACAACATGCTTCTGACTTGTGTTGGTTGGTGATTAATATTTCATCTTTTTTAATTTAAATTTAGTTTGATGTTTATTTTCATTTGTTTTGTGCAAATTGTACTTTAAAATGTTTAAATTTTAAATTTTCGATTTTCAACCAGAAAAAAGGTTTTTGTGTATTATATATTTTATTTAGTTTATTTAAAAAGTTCAGAATATTCTAAATATTACTTTTATCAAATCAAATATGTTCAAATTTTATATTTTCAAATGTAGAAAAAATAACAAAATGCTTCAAATAAAAAAATTTTAATAACGTTCATTTATTTTTTAAATCTCATATTTGAAACAAGTTAATGCAACAAATACATATTCATACAGAATGCATGGAAAAAACATAATAAAACGTAGAGTATTCAAATTTGATAAAAACATACTAACGCGAAACTGTAATAAATGCTTATTACTAGATTTTGTTAAGCCATGGATTGACCGATAGACAAAAGAGTCTATGGCTTGTAATTTCGAGTAGTCCAGATTCGGGCTCCATTCTTGTCACATAAGTATATTTTTTTATTCTGACATTTTAATTAAATAATTTTTATCAAGTCCCATTTGCACAATTTTTCTTGTAGTTTTTCATCATCATCATTATAATAATGAATTTAAAAATTCCATGATCCAGAAGATAATAGAGCGCAAAGAACAAAAAATCAGCAACAACAACAATGCAACCAACAATATTAACAAAAATAACATAATAATATTAATGTATTATAAGAATCACATGTCAACTACTTTCAAACAGGATTAAAAAAATATCTACCAATAAATTTAGAAACAGATGAATAATCGATAATGAAAACACGTAAAAGTGTTACATTTGTCGATAATAAAAACACGTAAAATAAGTTTGCATTAGTGGGAAGCAGTTGTATTAAATATTTTCTAGTAAACTTATAGACAACTCCCGGTAATCCTTTGACGATCTTTGACCAACGCGACGTTTGTGATAGAGAAATGTGCTCATTCATTGCTTTAATTAACAAACCTTGGCATTTGAGATTAAATACATGGTCAAGGTTGGATGCAATTCTTGTCTTTTCCAGCAATTTGAGTGAGTGATTCACCGAACCTGACTCCGCCAGCATCCTATCAGCTTTTTCGAAATTGTTGATATTTCGCGCCACAGACAAACAGTTTCATCGATGCTGCTTGAATTTAAATCTATTCTGATTTTGACTTTTGTCTTTTCCAATGTGTCTTTCAATGAGATGATATTCTGACCACAGTACCTGTCCGGCAGGGAGAGCACTTCGGACACACAGCCACTGATTGGCGTAGTTAGCCATTGTCTAATGTTTTCCACGATTAAGCCGTCAAGGTTTGTCAAGACCCATATTGATGAGAAGTTATAATTTCGAAATTCAAATTGCAGCTGAGTTAAAATGAATCGCCTAAGAATTTGTAGTTTTTGCTGATGAGTGACGTTCAAATTCGTGGTGGTCTCCAGGAGTTTAGTTAATTTTGTTTTAATTGACTTTCTAGCATTTTTGTCGTTGCAATCGTAATCATATAATTTGCCCAAATATATCAAACGGTCCCCAATTTCGACATTTGGAATGGCCGTATTTTGAACAGTTAGATTTTTTAAAAACTGTTGACAGTTTCCGTTTTTCTTCCTCATACGAAAGGAGTGACATTTGTCTATTCTCATCTGCATGTTCGACCACGTGCACCACGCATAGTTTAGGTCTATCAATTTTTGCGCACTTTCAGAACTATGTGAAACCATAGCTGAATCATCAGCAAAACGGAAACCAGTTTTTAAACCCGCAGTTGGTCCCCAGAAATAGCCACAGTTGGCATACTGCTCTGTATTTAGAACTTTCATCAGGAGGTAGAAGCATAAATTGAATATTAAAGGGGAACACTCTAGAGAACTCCTTTTCTGACGGGCAATGCTGGCGTTAGTTCATTGTTGACTGATATTATTGTTGAATAGTCAGAGTAAATTGATAATATTAGCAATTTGATTATTTGAGGTATTTGATGATATGAAGGGATTGAGTTGATTAACAGGTGACTAACTTCGCCGAAAGCATTCTTGAGGCCTAGCAATGCGACGATTAATGTTCTTTGGTGTTTTTTGGCATCTTTCATCAGGTGGGTCAACATTTGGGAACGCTCCAATAAACCGTCTACTTTTGGGTAGAAACCTTTTTGAATATTGATATTGATGAATTTATTTTGCTGTAGACAATTGTAAAGTCTATTTTTTATTAGGGTTGAAAATATTTTGTAGCTGGTTGGTTGAAGGGTTTTAGGACAAACTAGCCGGGTCGTTGGGATCCCCTTTTTTGTATATTAAAATTGTTAAAGCTTTTTTCCGACAATTTGGTATCGTAGATGAGGCCTAGCATTTTAACAATTACTTATGGAAAAAGGTTCTGAGAATTGGACATCTTTTGAAAACTATTATCGATATTTGATCCAATGGACACGGAGAGGCGCGAGATTTACTTACACGATCAATGTTTGAAACTTCTTCGTATGTTGGAGGACCGACATCACTACCGAATGAAAGCAACGGCAGAGACGGGATCCCGTGATGTAATTTCATTGTCATCGGCTTTCATTGCTCTGTAGAAATAATTGCTCCCTTTTTCAACATCGAATGATGGAGGTGTTGTTGTGGTGGGCGAGAAAATTTTTTGCATGCTTTCCAAAAGTTCTTCCATAGTTGAGTTGAAACTTCGGATTGATCGGCCGATTTATCTAGACGCCTCGAGTGATGAAGCTTGGACCTAATCACTTTGCTGACCGCAATTATGTCGTTGTTAAACAAATTGTTGTTGCGTCCAAGGATCTTAAAACTTTTCAATTTCTCCCTGAGTTGTTTAATGACGGAACTTTGATTTGTTGATGTTTTGGGTTTAGCTGTTCCAAACGTATTGGCGAAGTAGTTGTAGTGTAGATTGTGTTTTGGAAAGTTGAGGTAAAATGGTTAATATCCTCAACAACACATAAGTCCATAAATTTCTGATGAAAATATGCGTTAGCTTCAGCCCATTGGCCTTGCGTTTTTGGCAGTTTAATACCCGGGAGTGGGTTTAGAGTTGTTGAAGAAGTAGTTGTGTGTTGAAACTGCTGAAACTCGTTCTCTGATTTATTTGTTTCGACGTCCGGGACGGTTGTTTTCAGCGATTTGAACATTTTGCAAGTTCGACGGTGCATTAGTAATCCCTTTCTACCTTTGCAGTATTTACCATATTTACAACGCAAAATATTATCAGTATTATTATCAATATTTTTAATTATAATGTTATTATCTGTTAAAATATTAGGAGAAATTTGATATTTTTTTTCATGGAAACCTTCAATCTAGTAGATTCGTGCATAGTATTTTTCGTACAGCTCCAGGAGTGTCTATTCACGAATTTAAAGTTATTGGAACAATAAGGACATTTCGTCGCAGTCACATAATTTAAAATTTTAAAAACTAGAATTAGGAAAATAATTTATTCAAAATTTAATTGTTTATTAGAACCCATATTAAAATACAATGCCATTATTCTCGCAACTTCACTAACACTACCTACCAAAAATTAAAATATATTAAAACCCTTAAAATCGAGTTATTACAATAAAACAGTAAGCCACGTTAAAACGACTCTCGTGTTTCAATACAAGCGCAATAATAATAATAATAATAATGGGAACACTTTTTTTATTCAATCAAATATCATAAAACATACAGAATAATACAATATTCAATATATATACTAATAAAAATCCAGTTATTGGTAATAATTAAGTATACGATAAAACCCTATTACTCATTATCATTTGACAAGTGAAAATAGGAGGCTTATTTAAAATGGTCATACAATGTTTCTGTCGCAATATATAGCGTATGTCGATTTAATTACAGAATTGATCAATTTGTCAATAAGTGTATTAGACCATGAAATTTTAATAGGCATTAAATTTAAAATATTAAAAAAGCCGATCGGAGTAATTTAAGGGATTCAGTGTCTTACCCCATCTAAACAGATTAGCATTAGTTGACAGCTGCTGAATTATATATTTTCTAGCAAATTTAAACAAGGTATCTGGCAGTAAATCGAGTTTCTTAGACCAGTTTGTTATTTGAGAAGATGATAATACGTTTGTTACCGACTTGATTAGGGAACCTTGACCCTGAAGCAAGACCACGTGACTTAGGGAAGCAGCAATACGACCACCTTCCAATTTTTTTAGAGACTGAGATGACGTGGCTGAATTAGATAGCAAATTATCCACCATTTTGTAGTCTAGAACAGTTTCACGCCAAAGACAACGTATTTCATTATTTGAGTTTGTCTTGAAATAATTGCGGAGTTTTAATCTCATTCTTAACGCTGTGTCCTTGAGTGAAACAATATTGTGACCACCAAACTTTAAAGGTAGACTTAGTATCTCAGACACACAGCCACTAATTGGTATTGATAGCCAACTTCTGGCAGCTTCAACAACTAGATTGTCCAAATTGTTGGCAATCCACGTCAGTGAAAAACTATAACTTCGATTGTGATGGAATGAATCTTCTTAATATTTGTAGTTACATTTGAGAAGAAACATCGAGTTTGGTCGTAACTTTCAACAGACGCGTTAATTTGGAAACAACCTCATCTTTTGCTTTTCTGTCTTTCAATTCTGAATCATAAATTTTTTCCAGGTACTTAAATTCGCAACCAATTTCCACTGTTGGAATAGGCATGTCATCTATTGTCAACCTGGGCAAAAATTGATCGTATGAGCCATCCTTTTTCCTTATTCCAAACACACAACAATTATCGATTCTCATTTGCATACCAGACCATTTACACCAGGCTAGATTTAGATCAATTAACTTTGGTGCACCATCCGAACTGTGTGCAATAATCGCTGTGTCGTCAGCGAACTGAAGCCAAGGTCTAGCCTTCACATCAGAGGTTGGGCCCCAAAAGTAGCCGCATTGTTTAAATTCCTCACTTTCCAAGATTTTCATTAGAGGGTTGAAACATAGATTTAACAATAGCGGAGAACATGGGTCACTTTGAAGCGCCACTTTTCTTACCGGTAACAACTGATATTGTATAATTGGAGTATATTGATAAAATAAGATCACAAAATAATTTAGATACATGGTGGTAGAGCAGAATTGAGTTGATGAGATGATGACTCACTTCTCCAAACGCATTTCGGAGATCCAGTAGCGCGATGATTATTGTGCGTTGATGTCTTTTTGCATCTTCCATCAAGTGAGTCAACATCTGGGTGGGTTCCGCCAGACCATCGGTTGTTGGGTAGAATCCTTTCTGTGTGTTTGAATTAATGAGTTTGTTTTTGTTGAGGAAATCATATAGTCTATATTCTAGTAACGTTGATAGAATTTTGTAGAGTACTGGCTGCAAGGTTATGGGGCAAAAATTGGCCGGATCGTTTGCATCACCTTTTTTATAAATTAAAATTGTTAAACCATTTGGCCAACACGTCGGAATTGTTGCTTCTTTCCAGCATCTGATTATTAATTTGTGAAGATACGTGCGAAGTATTGGACACCTCTTCAGCGCAATTGTTGAAATTTGGTCTAACGAAAAGGGCGTTGCTTTGGCCTTGCATTTTTTAACAATTGACGCAACTTCATTGTAGGATGGTAGTCCAATGTCGCAAAATAGGAGTAGATAGACCAGTTTTTAAAGTTATTATTTAAATGTTGTTTCAGATTTTTGTACTTTTCACTTTTATATTGTTTAGATGAGAGTAGGTTAGTCTCATGACATATTGTCAACTCGATCACCTCTATTTTTCCACCCCGCAGAACAGCAACATCCGGTGGTAGCGTGTGAAACAACTGTTTTATTGGGCGTACATTTTCCAATTCCAAATCAGCAAATATGCAACAGTCGATAGGAGCCTGAGCTTTTATCTCGTTTATGATCACCGCCAATATTTTGTTATGTCTTTCGGTGTATCGTGCCAGTGCCAGTGCCGATGTTGAACAACAGTTAGACACGACATGATTTTTTGTCTGGAGAACGCTGCAGAGCGGACATAAAAGAGTCGTAGTTTTGCCCCATTGAAACATATTTGAATTGGTGGGCAATTGTTGAACCAGGTATTTTCTTATGAACCTGTAGAATATCCCGGATAACTTCTCAGTAGTTTTGAACCAACAAGTTATTTGTGCTGGGCTTATATGCTGGCCAATAGCTTTGAGTATGATTCCCTGAGATTGCAGTCCGCTGATGTGGTTGAGACACGATTTCTTTTTGTCATTCTCCAGAAGCTTAAGAGACAGCTTTAGTGAGCCTGTTTCGTCCAGCGAGCTATCTGATTTGAAGTTGTTTCGCTCCATAGGCATTTGATTTCATCACTAGTGTTGTTTTTTAGATAGCTGCGAATTTTCAATTTTATTTTTTCTGAAGTCATTTTTGTGACACAATGTTGTTACCGCCATGTTTCGTTGGCAGCGAAAGTATTTGCGATACACAAACTCTGCCATTATTTATTATCAAATTTTCCAGGTTGCACGATATCCAAGTTGGTGCAAAATGATAGCTTCGGAATTCGAATTGAAGCTGCGAGGGAATGAAATAATAATAATAATAATAATAATAATAAATAACAATAATAATGAGAACTCTTTTATTTCTTCAAAAGCCAAAATATAAATGAAAAAATTACAATTAAATATAAAATGATCAATTATTATAATAGTTAAAAGATTAAAATAATGGATAATTTAACATCAATGCTCGTCATTATGAATGTGTACAAAGATGATAAAATAATATAAAAACTAGAGTCAAGCTTTATTTCTGTCACAATATATTGCGTAAGTAGATGCTATCAATGTTCCTTGGCATTGTAGCGACGATAGGTGGTTGAAGTCATTTTGGTGTTGACGCTGTTTCAGGACGTTGCACGCTATTTGAATATTGTTGCTTTGGATTTGGTTGTCGACTTTTTTGTATTTGTTCTTTGATTTCTGCCACAGAACTCTCATTTCTTCCCTGGTGTTTGTTTTTAAGTGTTCCCGAAGTTTTAATCTCATTAGCTCTGTGTGATGTTTTAGTGATTTTATGTTTAACCCTCCACTTTTGTAAGGCAACGACAAAACTAACCCTAACCCTAACCCAGATACTCAAACTTGTCATCGACGCCTATCTGAGGTTTTGTTTCGTCGCCTATTGTTAGCTTCGGCAGAAATTGTTCATATGCGCCAACCCGCTTTCACATTCCGAATGTGCAATACTTGTCGACTCTAATTTTCATGCCAGACCATTTGCACCAGGATTGGTTGAGATTGATTAGAGTTTGAGCACCATCAGAGCTGTTTGTTATAATAGCTGTATCGTCAGCAAACTGCAGCCATGCTCTGGATTTTAGATTAGCCGTAGGGCCCCATCCACATTGTTCATATTTTTTCTCCAACATCTTCATTAGAGGGTTGAAACAGAGGTTAAAAAGAAGAGGTGAACTGGGGTCACCCTGCAGCACTCCACGTTTCACAGGGATTGGTGGAGTTAACTGCTCGCGTACTGATACTGTTGTTGAATAGTCAGCATAAATAGAATCAATTAAGTTGCACATCTGGTCCGGTATATGATGGTATTTTAAAAAAGATGAGATGAGATCGTGACTAACCTCACCAAATGCATTTCTGAGATCTAGAAGGGTGACGATGATCGTTCGATGATGTTTTTTCGCATCTTTCATCAAGTGGGTAAGTAGATGAGTGTGTTCTGTCACTTCGTCCAATTTTGGATAGAAGCCCTTTTGTATTGAGGTGTTGATGAAGCTGTTGTTTTCCAGATATTTGTGTATTCTGTTGTTGAGGCATGTAGAAAAAATCTTGTAGAGAACCGGTTGGAGCGTTATCGGTCTAAAGTTAGCTGGGTCATTGGGGTCACCTTTTTTATAGATTAAAATGGTGAAGCCCTTTCTCCAACAGGATGGAATTGTAACAGACCTCCAGCATTTGATTATTAATTGGTGAAAGATTGTGGGCAGCATAGGACATTTTTTGAAGACAATTATTGAGATTTGATCGAGCGGACAGGGGGATGCTCTAAGTTTGCATTTTCTAATGGCTGTTGCTATTTCGTGGTGGTATGTTGGGGGGTCGATGTTGCATGGAATTGTTGGTTGTTGCAATGTTGGAACCCATTTCGGAAGGCAAAACTTGTTGTGAAATTGGTCGTGGAGTATGTTGTAAAAATATTTTTTGTAGTCGTCAATGCTGAATGGTGGGGTTAAGCTGTTTGATGGGTTGAACAATTTTGTGCATGTTGACCAGAATTTGACTTTCAGTTGTTTTGTTATGTCAACATGTTTCTCAGTTTTTGTATTTTTTATTAATAACAGTTTTGTTCCTATTTGTTTGCTTAATGTGCTGATTTTCATGTCAAAACTGTGGTCGTTGCGGCCAAGTAATTTTAACTGTTTTAGGTTCTTCTTCATGTTTTTGACTGTTTTATTGGGGTATTGTATTGTCGATAAATCTTGTGGCTTTATCGTGCCGTAGTTGGATGCAAAATAATTGTAGATCAGTGATTGGAATGATGTGGTGAAATTGTTGATGTCGGATACATTTGGTAAGGACGTTCTGTGGAGTTGGAAGTATGTATTTGCTTCCCTCCAATGTTTTAGAGTCCTAGGTAGTTTTATTCCAATGAGAGGAGTTTCCATGATGTTGCTGTCCAACCTTTCAAGGGATGCTTGTTCGCGTTGTGGTGGTGGCGACAGTTTCAAATTTTTGTCAGATTTCTCTGGGGTTTCTAGTGCAGTTCTAAGGTTTTTAAACATTTTGCAAGAACGTTGGTGTAATTTCAAGCCCTTCCGACCCTTGCAACTCTTGCCACAACAACATGGAATTAAATTATTATCATTATTAGTTAAAATATTGTTACTTTTAGAACTATACAAAATGTTAGGAAATATCACAATATTATTTTTTGGTGAGCTGCGTATATTAAAATTGTCATTATTATTCAACGTTGTTTAAGTGCACCTCCAGGAGTGTCTTCCTACATTTACAAACTCTTTAAAACAATGTGGACATTTACTAGCGTTAACAGTTGAAATTATATTTAAAAGCAAAATAAAACTAAATAAATATTTAAAATTAGATTTTATTAAAACTAGCTTAACCGACAGAATTTTCCGCATCTTTACAATTAATTTTTATATTATTAAACTTTATCAATGGATCCAGATTGTTGCCTATCCAAGTCAACGGAATTTTGTAAATGCGAAGTTCGAATGCCAACTGTTTTTATGTGCCATTTTTCTTTCTCATGCCAAAGACGCAGCATTTGTCAATCCTCATATTCATTCCGGTTGCTTTGCACCAGGCTTGGTTCAGATAAATTAATTTTTGGGCACTGTCAGTGTTGTTGGGTTGTTGGCAATGATGGCCGTGTCGTCGGCAAACTGAAACCAAGCTCTGGATTTTAGATTGGTTGTGGGTTTCCATATATATCTACACTGCTGAATTTTTTTTTCAATTAGTTTTATTAACGGATTGAAACACACATTAAACAGCAGAGGGGAAACGGGATCCCCTTGCTGAACCCCACGTTCAACCGGAAAGAGAAGAGTTAAGCTTTCGCAACCAGAGACAGAGATTGGATAATCGGCATAAATATTATTTATTAAATTTTTAATCTGAAAAGGAATGTGATAATAGTCTAGCGTTGAGGAGATGAGGTTGTGGCCGAATTCTCCAAATGCGTTACGAAGATCTAAGAGCGTGACGATGATGGTACGTTGGTGTCTCTTAGTATCGTTGATCATGTGCGTTAACATTTGGGTGTGCTCAGCCAATCCATCAACTCTAGGATAGAACCCTTTTTGAATGTTTTTAATTATTAATTTATTTGTTGCAAAAAAGCTATACATTCTATTTTTGATGAACGATAAAAATATTTTGTATAGTGTTGGTTGCAGTGTTATTGGGCGGAAGTTCGATGGGTTGTTGGTATCACCTTTTTAGTGGATTTGTACCGTAAACCCTTTTTTCAGGATGAAGGAATTGAAAAAGATGACCAACATTGGATTAATAATAATAATAATAACAACAATAATAATAGATTTACATCTACATTTATAATTTTTCTTTTAATCTATCCTGAGTTTCATCACAGAACTTTTCCATTTTTTTATTTAATTCTTTAATCTGCATTTCTTGTTCTGCATATTTCACCTGATTTACTGCAACATTATCTAAGACACTTTGAATGTCCACTAAACTTTCAGAAATAGACAGAGCTTGAAGCTTTGTTTCTTCTGTTTGAGCCAAATTTTCATTATCAATATAATAATAATAATAATAATAACAATAATAATAATAATGGGAACTCTTTTTATTATCAAACCTCAACTATTGGATGATTCTTGCCAAAGACATTTCATTTCGTCATTTGTATTAAATTTTAGATCACCACGCAGTTTCATTCTTAGTAACTCTGCATGATATTTTAATGATCGAATGTTGAGGGCTCCGTTTTTGTATAGCAATGATAAAATTTCAGCCACACAGCTGCTGACCGGGAGCCAATCTCTTACAGACTCCGTGATCATTGCATCTAGGTTTTTTTTCGATCCATGTTACTGGTATGTCGTATATTCTTAAATCAAATGCGAATTGCGATGGAACAAAATATTTAAAAATTTGTAACTTCCATTGTGCTGTGGTGTCTAACTGACCAATTCTGTTCAACTTGTTTCTTAGCTTACCCTGGAGTAGGTCTTTTACTTTCCACTCTTTCAATACCACCACTCAACCCCGTCCTTGCGTCCGTCCTATTAATCACACCATGAACACATTTCTTACATTTGAACGTGCCTTCCACCTTTTTCAGTGCCCCCCTCACACCACTACATCTCTTATGCACCCATTTCTGACATCCTATACACAATACCGAGTTAGCCTTTACTTTCCTGTCACATACCCCACAGGGGTCTATTTTACTTATCACTCGCTCCCCATCTTCCCCACTCACCATTACCTTCGTCTTACCAATATTAACTTTTAACCCTTTCTTTTCAATAACACTTTTCCATCTGTCAAATTTCAACCGCAATTCTTCCATGCTATCAGCCATCAAGACTAAATCATCTGCATACAAAATCTCAAATAACAACCCCTTCGTTATGTTTCCACACACAACATCTATCACAATTGCAAACAGAAACGGTGATAACACTGATCCTTGATGCACTCCTACCTTAACACTAAAAGCGTCCGACATCCCCCTTCCAACCCTCACTTTTGTCTTTGCCCCTTCATACAGCTGCATCACAGTTTTAACAAGTCTCTCATTCACTCCTTTCTTCCTCAACGCCCATTCAATGACCTTTCTCGGTACTCAATCAAAAGCCTTTTCTAGATCCACAAAACACATGTACAATCTTCGTTTCTTCTTTCTATAATTCTCTTGCAACATTCTCACCATGAACAACGCATCCACCGTTCCCCTACCAGGCATTTCATTAACTGTTACCATATTTCTCAACCTCCTCTCAAGCACCCTCTCCACTACCTTCATTCCGTGCTCTAGCAATTTCACACCCCTATATGACCCACAATCTCTCACATCTCCTTTGCCCTTATACAACGGCACCAACACACTGTGTCGCCAATCCTCAGGTATACCTTCATCATCAAACATACTGTTAGCAATTTTCATCATAACTTCAATTCCTATCACCCCACTCGCTTTTTTATGTTCTGCCGCCACTTCCGAAACCCCTGTCGCCTTGCCTAGTTTTATTTCTCTAACTGCTTTCTCTACTTCCTCCATCGTCACCTTCTCTATAGGTCCGTGTGTGACTACGAATTCTACATATCTATCCCACTCATTCTCTTCATTCATCAACCTTTCCATGTGAGCTTTCCACACCTGAGCTTTTTCCTCCTCATCTATGCACAACTTGCCAGATCCATCTCAAACACATCCATTCCCTATAACATCTTTCCTATCCCTCATTGACTGCTTTGCTACTTTGAACATTTTCCTCGAACTCACATCAAATTCCATTTCCTTCATTAACCTATCTGATGCTTTCGTCATTGCAGTTGCCATTGCCTGTTTTGCAACCTTCTTAGCCTTTCTATACTCAGACTCCGCTTCCTCCGTCATGTCCCTTCTCCATACCCTAAACCTCTCTTTCTTGACCTCCAAAACCCTTCTTATATCTTCATCCCACCACCACGTCTCACCATGCCTACACTTTCCTTTCGTCCATCTACATACTTTATCTGCCGTAGCCAACACACAGTCCCTGTATCTCTCCCAAACATCTCCATCCTTACCACTCTCCCAATTTTCAGCCACCTTCACTTCAAATGCCTTCCTCACCTCTGCATCCTGCAACTTCCATGTCTTTCTCTTTGCCACAAACTTATCCTTCTTCCTCCTCCCCATTTCTTTTGATGTCACATCCATCACAACCATACTATGCTGTAGCATACAAGGTATCGCCTTCACATTCTTCACATACTTTCTATGTTTGGCCCTTATTAAGTAAAAAACTAAAATTATTATTGTTCGTGTTTATTAATATAAATAATTGCAAAAAGCTTTTTTGATATAAAATATATCATCGTCAGTGCAAAATATTTTTAAATAATAACGAAAATTACCGTTGATAAACAAATGACGTCATACAGTATAACTTAATCTTAAGCGCGAAACATTTTTGAAAATGTTATTATTAATTATTATATACTATATGTTTAACATATTGATAAATTAACTTTAAATTATTTACATAGATATATATTAGAATTAAACAAAATAAATTAAAATTAAAATTTTAAAAATTGCTGAAAAAACGACCATAAAGTAAATCAACAAAATAAAAAGCAAAAATCAGCCATATCATCATACTACAATGTTCATGTTTCCAAGTTTATATTATTATCATTGTCATTGTTATTATCATAATATATATATATATATATATATATATATATATAATATTATATATATATATATATATCCATATTTATCAATCAATAGAAAACTTATATAGTGCCAACTAATTGTTCTCAAAGGTGCTATTGTAGTTATATAAAATAAAAGTCTACAATACTATTAATAAGAAAACACTTAAGTAAAATTATCAAAGTTTAACAGTGAATAAATATGTTTTCAGTTTTTTTAAATGTTTTAAAAGACAGTCCAGACGATCGTAATGACTGTGGCAGGCTGTTCCACACGGTCGGATCTGCAACAGAGATACTCCTTTTACCAATCTGCAATTGTGAAACCGGTATTGTCAACAAATTTATATCATCTGACCGTAAATGAGACGACGGATTTTTTTTTAAAACTTGTTTACTAGATATTTTGGTGACATCACATTTAGTAATTTAAACATAAGTACAGCGATTTTGAGGGTTACTCTTTTATCTACTGTCAACCAGTGTAGTTCCTCCAGGATGAGAGTCACGTGATCAAATTTCATCCTGCTAGTTACCAATTTTGCAGCTCTGTTTTGAATTGAATGAAAAAGAGCAATTGACCTTTTTAGAAGTTTATAAAACAGACTGTTGTAGTAGTCAATTCAAGATGTTATAAAAGCATGAATCAGCGTCACCAGAGCCGATCTATCCAATGAATGTCTGATTCGATATAAATTTCTTAAATAAATATTACTTGATGTATATATCTTTTTAATGTGATCTTTCATTGATAAATTGCTATCAAGTAAAACTCCCAAGTTTGATGCAGTTGCAAAAATGATATCTTTACGTCTCCCATCTCTACTGAACTGAAATCAAGCTTTGACGCTGAATT